GTGTATGTGTATGTGTATGTGTGTGTGTGTGTGTGTGTGTGTGTGTGAGAGAGAGCGGGGGTTGAGGAATGGCTATTTGTTTAATTGCTCAGGGAATTTTCATCACAAAGCTCAGTGATGATTTCAAGCGGTCAGCTATTGTTTGCGGAACTGAACTGAACTCATAAACAATAAACCAACCCAACCTTCACCACACAACAAACACAAACCCATACTGTATCGTCCCCATGGTAACACAGAGCTCTTCTGTTTATTGGGATTGTTTGAGGACTTGACAGTGCGAAAAAATCCAGCCAAAGTGGGATACAATACTGCTCAATAGATCTCAACTCTGTCTCAGATGTTTCTCCTAAAATTCCTGTGGAGAAATAAAAACAGGCCCAAATGAGTCAGTAGTTGTCATACGGTAAGAGTTTAGAGCTATAAAATGAATAGGGATCAGCTAAGATCATTTGACAAGAAATGTTTAAGCTCATGAACGGCTCGGCCAGCAGATTCGACGAAGGCGCGTCTGGCAGGCTTGCGGCAACCACATGTGACGACCCCGGGCTGGACTCCGCTTCGTCCACGTTGAAAGCCAATCCGGCAATCCACAGCGCGAATCAGCTCCAGGCATGACGAAGCGGATATCGTCCTCTTTTGGAAGGCCAAACAAAGTAGTTTCACTTTCACAACGAAACACACAGCGCCTTCACGACATGGCGGCGGCGGCGGCAACAACAATACTACAGCGAGAATAAAAGTTACGCCTTCTTTCTTTGCGTGAACATTTGGGCGGCATTATGCAAATCTTCCCACATCGTGACGTAGATATGTGGGGGCGTGTTAGAAAGAGCCGTTTTAGGTAGGCGTGGCTGACTCTTAACTTTTATAAAGAATATCCCTTTGGATTTGAGACTTTAGTCTTTGCAATTTTACAGATCTTCTTTATGCACCAAGAGCTTGTAACACTCCAAAGAGAAAGGAAAAATTGAAATCGCATCATATGACCCCTTTAAACAATTGGATACATTGATAAATTCACTTTAGATGCATAGACTTTTCAGTAGAATTTAAACAGTAAAACCTTGCTTTCATGTTTTTTTTCTTTTATTAGGTTACTCGTTACATCTTAGTAAGTAACTGGTTGTATGTACTTGAATACATTTTTAAACTAACCTTCCATTTAATTTTTTTTTTTTTTTAAGTTCATTAAAATCTCTGCATCATACACTGTTCAGTTTATCGAATAGAACTGCAATTTTTTAATAATAGTTGTAGCTGTTTATCCCTGATTACTATAATGTGGTATCAGTCATATTTAATGGGTCAAAATTAGTATTCTTTGAGAAGTTTTGCATTGAACTGATCCCTGATATAAAGTGATTCCTCACAGTTAATGGGGAAGGAGAGCAACTCAGCAGACTAATCACATGACAGCGGTTAGCTTTCTGAGGAAGTCATTCATCCGCAGACCTAGAGTAAATACTGGCTGTGTTTGGAAACCTACTGAGCTGCCTACCTAGACAGCATTTGGGACGTTCCGATACCTAAACTGATTCGAGCTGTTAGTGAGGAGGTAAAATACTGTCTAGCTAGGCATCTCAAGGTTTTAAGACACAGTCAGCCATAGTTCCCAAATGACTCGTGTAAACTAAATATGCCTTGACAGTAGTTTTCTATTATTTCGCCAATTATATGCAACTCCAGTGATACGTTTATTGTACCAGCCACACACTGATCACGAGTTGCAAGCAGTGAAAACACACAGGATCCGGACTCCTCAGAAGAGAGTCGACTCGACTCGGGGTTTGTTATCGGATAATTAATGTGTTTATTTTTTCCAGAAGGGAAAGATGTTGTCATTCGAGGCAGCTAAAGCGAGGTTAGAAACTGCAGGACAGAGCCATGTTTTACAGTTTTGGTCTGAACTCTCTGCGGAAGAAAGCAGTGCGCTTCTGGAGGAGATATCTCTGCTCAAGCCCGAAGAGTTACTCGAGCACTGCCGAGCAGCTGTTGAGGCTGCAAGCCGACACTCGAGTGCTGATGGTCGGCTAGACGCGCGGATGGAGCCCGTTCCTCCAGAGTTCATCGGAAGTGTGCGTAAAAGTGACGAAGAAAGACTTAAGATGTGGGGTGATGAAGGTACAGCTCCAATGTTCAAAATAATATAAAACAATAGTTTTATTAATTTTTACAATTTAGTCAAAAGTAACATTACATGTACTGAAGACTATATAAAAGACTTCTGTCCTCAGGGTTATTGCAGATTTCACAGGACAGAGTGGCTGTTTTGCTGTTAGCTGGTGGTCAGGGGACTCGACTTGGAGTGCCATATCCCAAGGGCATGTACAATGTTGGGCTTCCAAGTGGGAAAACCCTGTACCAGATCCAGGCTGAGGGTATCCAGAAGGTGCAAGAGCTGGCCAATCTGAAGCACGGTTGTAGGTGCACAATACCATGGTATGGCTCTTTATTTGCAAGTCAAATAAGGGTCTTTCTGTGCTTTCTGCTAACTATAAACACTTTTGGTCCTGCCTCCCCCCCCCCCCCACCC